TTGCTAACTGCCAGTGATTCGCAGATAAAAGCCTGCACAAATGTGCGGCTCCTAAAAGATTAACGGTGTGTCAGTGTCATACGGTTCAATTTTTCTGCATTATGAATGCAAGGATGAGTTTAAAAATATACAAGATTGTGAATTATTCAGCCACTCCCTTCACATTGAGAGGCTTTTTGACGTGACGCGCTGCCAAAGTGAGTAACGTGGCAAATGCGCAAAGAGACCATCAGTGACGGTGGATGTTGAGGGTGAAATGTCGAATGTAAAACTGCATCTACGTTTGAAAAAATAAAAGGTTGCCATTTATTGGTTAGGAGAGGAGGCATAGTTAGAGGGAAGGAGTGTGTAACCCTTGGAGTGTGTAAATAGGCAATTAATTTGTCTCCATGTAGTCAAACTCGCTCTTGTGTGCTGCTCTCCCAAATCCCCTTTCAAAATTGAGAATGTCTCTTGGAATGTTCCAAGTCTCCTATATATAAAACTGAATGAAATACCATTGTATATTCATCTGTTTTGAGGATTAGATGCACTTCTTCACCAAGGAATGTCTCCTCCGTTCATCCGAATCATACATATATGCATGACCCAAAGATATCTAATCTCAATTCATTATAGGATGCTGTCGAAAAATTCACAGTGCCAAATGACATACTGAGCTTTAGGTGGCCTGTGCGCGGCGGACGGAGCCGTGCGTGTATACTCCCACCCAGTGGAAACGTGCAAAACTATTTGCCTGGGTGAGTCATTCTTGCAGCCCGACTGCCTTCCCTGGCCCTTCTGCAGAGGGACCCGCGCTGGTTAATAAATTAGTCTCTTTTAACATTCACAGCTGATGGAAGGCAATCTCCAGGTCTGTGAAGATGGGGTTGAAAGGGCCGTGTAGGATGGAGTGGCAGGAGGGTGACAGGAGGAGTGCAGCCGCCATTTGGGGTTTTCTAAAGCAAGAACTAGACTGCGTGAGCTCAGAGAGCCAAAGACAGCAAGCACATACCGTTCAGAGCAAAAACGCTCAGCGCTTCACAATTGAAGAGAGAGGGAGGGAGGGAGGGAGGGAGAGCGAGAGGTCATTTATAACTTGGACAAACAACAATCTTCCACGAATGGAAAAATTGTACCAAAATAAGTTATTTTTAAACAATCTCACAAAAGGACTGGGTTCGCAAAGTCTATAATTAGACCGAAGTCAGTGCACTTTTTTTTTATAAAACCTGGCATTTGAACATGGTTCTCAAGGGCAGCGGGCAGCTTGCAGGCTGTGAAAGTTTTCAACAACTCTCATTTCCTCCGTCTAACCTTGACTTCTGTTCTGTCCAAGGTCAGCGGTAGAATCACAGACTACATGTTTAAATTACTACAGGAAGCCTATACGAAGCCAATGTCAAAAAACAACATGTGATTTGTGGATCCCCCAAAAAATATCCAGTGTGTGGTTTTTCGCCGCAAAGAGGCATTACAAATATAGCCGGAGGGAAAAAAAATAAAAGTGGTGTGCAAATTGTTACCTTGAGCAGAGTCCTGAAAGGAAATGCCGCAGGTGTTTGTCCAATCTCTGATTTCCTCTCTTCCACAACACGCGGCAGAATTGCCATGTGACCTCTAAATGACTGTAGACTTTAGTCAATTTGCAAACCCAAAGATCCATGAAGTAACAACGCGGTCCCGTCCACCATGAAAGGTATTAACGTAGCACTCTATTCATCCGGGGATAAATAGCTCTCCTTGCATCTCTCAAGTTAATCTTACTTTATGCTTTTTTGTTGAGAAATGGGGGTTTTTTGGTGCTCTTCATTTAATAACACAAGAATATAAATGCATATTGGGCCCTTTCTTTGCCAAAGAGCCTTCCTTTTCACTCTGCGGCCAATCACAACCTGAGATTTGATTCCCACGTGACAGGTAATTCTACACAAGTGAAGCCTGAATACATTGCAGAAATTGTAACAGTGTTATTAAATTAACTGTCATTAAGATGTAATAAATAAGAAGTAACAGCTTTTACATGGATCTTTATGAACTAGGATTTATTTGCCGCAATACCGAAATATTCAATCAATTCACGCAAAATCTAAATAAACACATTAGGAATAGTAAAAAGCCTTGAATAGGCCATCAATTAAAATTTCCCAGCTGTCATCTCACTCTCCTCCCTCGTGCCTCTCTCAGGAAACGACATCATTACGCCATTTTTAACCGAGCGTCCCTCAGGTCACCGTGTAGCTTCATCCGTCTGCCTGTCCCGGATGCAGTCCACATCATAAACGCTGTCAGTCCGCAACAACGCACGCCGCACAGAGCCGCGGTGAACCCACCGAGGAGGAGCGGTGACATTGACAAAGTGAGAGTGTGGCCAAAGTGCAATGTAACAGCACGCCGCCACTTATGAAAACACCTGCTCCACACTGTCAGCGACTTAACCTTCCATCCCCCAAATCCCCAGCGGAGGATTATATGTGACAGATGTAGGACAGGTGGGGGTCAGGTGGGGGGGACACGGTGAAGTGGAGGATGACAGGAGCGACTTCCCAAAGCAAAAGTTTGTTTGGAGAGAGATGGGGTAAAAAAACAGCCGAAAGGGGGAGGAAGGAAGGAGGTGAAAAGGCACAACGAACAAGTCCGAGGGAGAAGCTATTAGAAAAGGTACGAGGAGGAGAGGGTGGAAATGCGCTACTAATATAACGACGTGTCGGAGCTGTTTCTTGTCTATCCATTCGTTGTCAGAAGGTTTACTGGGGCCATGTAGTCCAGACGTACCTTTTGTGAGCACATTTTTAAGGGAACCACCAAGTTCTTTGCTGAATATGCGCTGTCGACCACGAATGTCGATATTGCATTTGGAGCAAATGTTTCCAGAAGATATTGGTGTTCATTGTGCTGGATGATTGGAAGTGTGGACCTGCAAGGTGCACAAGATTAAAAAAAAGGCAAGGAATCACAGAAATCATTTGAATTAGAGATTGAAAGATAAATCGTTGTGGTCGGTCAATAGGAAAAAACCGATGATACGCTTTGAGCATAATGAGAAACCCTATTTTTCATGTTTTGTCCCCTGAAAGCCTTGAAAGTTTTCACCTGTAAAATGCCTTATTCAGTATACAGTTGTTTTCTGTTTTTTTTACCAAATAACAAACGTAATGTATGTTTATGTTTTACGTTACAGCATTGCCTCGGATTGTTTCTTTATCTGAGCGGATCAGTCGAGCGATCGAATGTCTGTACACATATTTCACGTCAAAACATTTCAGTTTAGGTCAACGTGGTGCAGATGTTCGTCTCGCCTCACAGTTCAGGCGTTACCGAGTTCATTCCTTGTCAGCGCTACTGTGTTTTTTTACCGTTTATGTCGAGGATGAAAAATGCTTTTTCGCCGCTAATGGAGCAGACAGACCTGTTAGACCAAACGGCCCTTTAAGAAAGGGCACGAAAGGCACGAAGGACATTGTGAGACGCTGAATTAACTCATCCTTTCCAAAATGGCAGTTTAGCCCGTGAGAGTGTGGTACTGTTACATTACCTTCCTACATGTTGCCTTTGTCTTTGTTAAAATTATGACCACTGACATTGTGATATTCAGTGAAGACACGAATATTCAGATGGCAGAAGGTTGAGGTTATAGTTGTAGATTATGTTGTTGTTTTGTTCCCAATTTTGGCTGGATTTGATACAAGTATAGTACTTCACATGATTGTCATTCCTCCATTTGCCCCACAACGTAAATGCCCCCTCTTCCTGTGGGTCTTTGTATCCGTTATAATTATAATGTTCGGGTATAATAAAATGGCTACACGCTAAGAAATGGCTTTCCTTTTTCAGGATTATGGCAACACTGTGTTTGGACAGTTGAATGTGCTGCTGTTAACTACCACCAAAGGGCTATAAGGCGTTATTAATAAGGCATTCATGTATGAACAATAAACAGTGAGGTGGAAATTGATGAGGAATAAAAAAAATAGTACTACTGATTTACATGTCTCCTGTGGCTGCTGGCAAAAAACAGTAACAATGAAAACAGCTAGAATATGCAGAGTTAATCACAGAATATAAATACACAATGCTATTCCTGAAAGTATATGATAATAATGTTTGATGGTGATTATAGGATTACAACTTTATGCATAACTACAGATTTTATGGCTTATTGTAAAGTAAAGTATAAATATATATCATTTAAGAAATGGGATGAAAATTAACTGTCAAAATTAATTTTTCATAACCTAACAACCCATATGTTGTGTATATTGAGAACCCAATAACTGATGAGCGCTGAATTGATTATTCATTAAGTATTCAGGCAGTAGTTAAGGTACTTGAGTGATAGAGGGCGGCACCTCTGCATCACCCTGCAGAGGCAGGTGGTGTAGCATCGTGTCACCATGTTTTGCTTGACACTGTCTTCTGTCAGCTCGTTTTAAGTACTTTTGGGCTTAACCACTCAACTCTAGTACAAATTATGACTGTTTAATCCCATCAATAACAGGGATTGGTGTCAAAGTATCATTGAATTTGACAAATGACAGAGTGAGCACAAATGGGATTCAGTTGAGGCCGGGTAAAATGTTGATTCATTACTTCTGAAAACCCCACTGGCTGACTTTCTCAAAGCTTACAAGAGTTTCCTGACCAAATTAATCTTCTGTACTTTGAACCAACTTTTCCTGAGGCAAAGCAAGGCAAGGAGTCTCACTAGGCATTACAGCTTCTCCCCTGCATTCATTCACGTGTATTTTTAGTTAGTATGGTTAGTCTGGCTGTGTTTTGGGCAGCTGTGATCTGTTCCACTGAGCAGAGAGCCAAAGCCACTGTCTAATTTGATGTCTAATTTTCTTTCACATATATATGTGTATATATATATATATATATTATATATATATGTGTGTGTGTGTGTGTATATATATATGTGTATATATATGTGTGTGTATATATATATACACGCATATATATACGCCTCCGGATTGAGGCTAGTTGATGCATAGACTGATAATTGAGTGATATTTGGATAAGACTCTAAATGTGCCTCCGCGGCCGCCGTAATTGTGCCTGAAAGTACTCGCTAGTAGCCGTGCTAACGACAAGCTAGCTCAAACAATGGCTGAATACTCTCACGTAAAATCAACCAAACTGGTTTTGAAAGGTCTTAACAAAGGGTAAGTGTCTATTCTGCGTATTACCACTTATATATAACGTTACGGTATTTTCTTTTATGTACCACAACTATACCGAGGTTTTGTAGCCTATGCTACAGCTAGCTGAAGCTAAAACGCAGCGTTAGCTTGGTGAAACACGAACGTAATTAACTGTAACTTAGCTAAGTTGTTCTTAAACGTTTTATCAGTGTAGTGACGAATTCTGTTTTTGGCAAACACCCTTAACTAACTAAGTGACATTAACTTCTCGTTAGCTCAACACCAACTGTGGGTCAGTAACCATTGAACGTTTACTACAGGTTGACGTGAAGATGCCTGAGTACAGGCACAAAAACAATACTTTACGTAGCGTTAATCTGTTTGTATCAGGCTGATTGGAGCAAACAAACATACATTTGCATTTCCGAAGAATAATCCATCCCTAGTAAAGCCTCGATGTGACTTCACGTTCTGTCATCCGCAGCCTTGCATCAACCTCCCACCTAAAAGCCCTGACATGGATCATCCAAAAACTCTCAACAACAGTCCAATCAATGTGGCATCCACAACTATTTAAATGCAGTTAGGCTACGGCAAACCTTTGATTTCAAGTAGACCATAGAGGACGTATTGGAGCTTAAAATGATGCATAAAAAAGGGGGCTACTTTCTTCCCTGAGCAACCTGAGAATAAAAACGTGATAGTCAGGGTGAGGAAATCCAACCAGTCAAACAGAGAACATACGTCTTAACGTTAGACATTTCTGTGTCTTAGTTATGAGAACCAGATAGAAAGCATGTTCACGTTGAATACTTAAATATGGTCCTGCAGCTCATGTACTACGAATGCATTTTTAAAGCAATGGTGACTCAATGACGTGTTATTGACTTTTAAGAGTCTTTTTTTTGCATTTTCCAAATGTGATAACTTTGACAAACGAATATGTCAGCTGACGAGTTCAAATGTTATGGAATGCTGGCGAGGAAATCAGACATTTGGCCGGCTAAACACTGATGAAGACATTTTTGATATTGTAATATGTTTTGTTTACAGGAAAAAGAGGAAGCACAAAGATAACAAGAAGAAAGCAGGAGATGATGAAGAAAAAGCTGATATTGTTGGTATGCTCATGTTCTTTTTTGTTTTTTAATAATAGTTTCTCTTTCTTTTTGTCTAGTATGTTTGTTTTTTGCTAAAGTTCATAAATTGTACTCTGGATGCTGCACCTTAAGGCTGTTGTGTCCGTGTGTGCCGTGTATTCTTACACTGTGTGGCGCGCGTCTTTATGCTCTCCAGATGGTTGGTGGGCCATCAGCAACTTTGGAGAAATATCTGGAAGTGTTGCCATAGAGATGCAGAACAACGCTTACATCCATGCCATGGATAGTGGCCTATTCACACTCGGTGCACCACACAAAGGTGAGAACACGCAGTGGAGGGCTTAAGAATTTCTTTTTTTGAGAGATAGGACATTCGTACTTCTGGTCATTTAAAGTATTTGCTAAAGAATCATTGATAACAGTCCGGGTAGTTCTTTCTAAACGTGAGCAGAATGAGAATGTTACAGTGTGGAACATTGAATAATGCTCTAAAGTTCCAAGGTGTATGGCTGCTCAATAATCCACTATATTATGGTGTTTTACGTTGAATTGGATACTGAGGATAGGATTTCAATAATCCATTAATAATGTTGATCATTTATTATCTCCCCGCTTCTCAAATGTAAGGATTTGATATTATCTTAGTCAATTTTAGAAGGTTGGATGAATAAACATCATCTATGCTGCTGTGGCAGGGATCACATTTGATTTGAAAAATGGACTCTGCTTATAAAACTCATTGATTTTGATGATTTATTATTAAGTTGCTTGGATCTAGAGTGGGGAAGTTAAACGGGTCATAGCTCCATGTCCAATATCCATTTCATATGGCCATCTTAAAAAACGATTTATTTATTCAAGTTTCTTGCCAGCAACAACATTTGACAATAACGTTTTTCTTTTTCCATAATTACATTTGAACATCATGGAAACACCACAATATACATTTTGCTCAATACTCATTTCCAAAGAATGAAGCTTGAATGCATTTTGTATAATTTGGATCCGTATCACCTGGCCGTACCCAGGAGTGTATATTGATGTAGCGCAGAAGAAGCCAGTGGGACTTTACTTGAGGATTACAATAGAAAAACAGCACCGTGTGGAGCGTAAGCTGTTATGTAATTCATTTTGTGTGCAGTTTAGAGTGAGATGCCAATTATACATCTGCTTGCTTAGACCACAGTTGTACCAACTTCCAAGTACTCGTAACTAAATTTTCAGGTTACATTGACTGTAGGCTGCAGGTGCTGTGGGGATGACGGGGGTCTTTCCTTCAAACCACAAAGCAGCAGCCTAAGTATTTAAGTAGTAAATCCAGACACCAGACTCCGGAAGGCTGAACCAGGGTTGAGTTCAGGGTAAGGGCTTAGCTAGCTCTGAGTTCTCCCTCACTTCTGCCTCCACGCTCCTCTTAGGGAATGTCTCCCTTTGAAAAAGTCGGCTCGGAAAGAGACACCGCCAACACTGAAGTCAGCCCACGTTTTGTGAGAGCCAGTGAATGTGGCGGGTAGATTGAAAGATCCCTAATCCACGAGTGGTCCCTCATCCTCTGCATGCACATAAGCTCATTTCTAGGAGATGAAAGAGGAGACGTGAGCCCGCAGTATAGAAAGAGACGTTTCCCCCCCTCTCTTACTTTATTTTCTGCAGAAGCGCCACTGTCTGGATGACACAGCGTTTTAGAGGACCGCGAAATGAGTGTTCACATTCACCCTCAGGTCAGAGGAAACACGTCGATGTTCCCTTCGCCGACTCCGAAGGTCACCATCTGACATATTCCAGAGATAATCAGCCTTTTGAAAGAGGCAGCTTGTGTCACATTTTTTACCTCTTCCTTTATAAACGCTTTCCTCATTAATGTCCCGCAGGGCTCCGCTCTCCCTCGACCTGATGCACAAGAAATTGTTTGAAACTTTTCATTCATTGTAAAGATCAAGAAGAGACCCAATGGCGAGCGGGTCACTTAATGAAATCACGGAGAACCCAGGAGACCTCAGTTGAGATTGAAATATTTTAAATCCAACACAACGGTTTCCTTTTCCATCTTATTTCTAATGGCTCAGTGGTGGTAAAAGGGATCCAGATGAGCACAGCGCTGCAGAGCCGCAGGGTTTGCAATATTAAACACGAAGCAGGTCTCAAGTATAAAATTGCCATAAGAAAATAACTAAACATTTTAATGATAAACATATTTTTTTTCTAAATGGTTGCTTTTGTTTGGCAAAACCCTCTTCAGACTAAACCATACATTTCTTTAGGTGTATAGAAGGCCTGTTATCTGGGGGGGGGGGGGGATCCAGTTTATAGATCCATTTAAATAATAGAATACCACTCGACGTGTAAGATCTGTTAAAGGGTAAATGTTTTGTGTGTGTTCCAGCCGATGAAGGACCCGACCCCCCAGAACAGTTCACTGCCGTCAAGCTCTCAGACACAAGGTGAGTAAACAAAGACAAACTACGACAACAGTAGTGCCTTTCTTCTGCACTTTTCACACAATTTTATAGTCTTAACAGTAATTTGATCCTTTCCGCGTGGAGGTGCGGCCTATTCTAGAATATCTTTTTAAATTGCGAATCTTCGATTAACTCTTAACTAATATCGTCAAGCGTTTCCTTTTAGGAATACCGGATACTCTGTAATTCCGTGGAAATAACTCATTTGTTTTGGGAATTAACATCAGACCAGCCTGTCCTGCATTTTTGAGGCATTGAAAGTGTCCATTTCAGCATTCTGTCACCGTAGAAACTTACCCCCTCTTTGCAGGATAGCCTTGAAGTCCGGATATGGAAAGTACCTGGGCATCACCTCGGAGGGTTTGGTAGTCGGCCGCTCTGATGCCATCGGCTCCAGGGAACAATGGGAAACCGTCTTTGAGAATGTGAGTGTGTCTTCTATTGTCTTTGGTTCTACAACATGTCTCTAGGAATCATAGTAAAATACATTATTATAACTGGGGAATACTGTGTGGCTATCTTCGCTCCCATTTATTGATAAATAACTTGATTAATAGAATTATTCAACAGAAGTAATCACTAATGATTAACTAAAAGTCCAAAAATATTTAGCACCCAGCTCATTTTTGTGACCATATGAGGCTATTGTCGGTTTTGTATCAAAGTAAACAAATAATTTGATTTTTGGTTGAATAAATCAAGAAAACGCATTTTAATACATCACAATTGTCAGTTGAGAAATAATTTGCAGATTGATTGATAATGAAAATAGTCATTTGGTTCAGCTGTATAAACACATTTTGCAACACTGCATGAATGCTATAATGCACTTTGTATTAATGATGTATGTCATTTCTATTCATGCGCCTTTGAACACCATTTAGTATTTGAAATAAAAACACAGTCTTTCCTGTGGCGGCACATCATGTAAAAAGGGACATGTTTCGTATCTCCGCCTTCCGCCGTCTCGCCTCATGGCTGATTGCAGTTAAGCACACGAGAGCACTCGGCTGTAAGTAACTGTGTAAAAAAACAAAACACCAAATCATCATGCGGAATGCGTCCTCCTTATCGCTGTGGCACACTGCTCGCCCCGATGCTCTGTCGAACCCGTAAACAACCTGCCCGGCACAACCTTGAGACTCTTTCACGTCAAACGTGAGCCAACCTTTTCATGTCTGTTGCAACAACCAGTCCTGCTCCAAATCTATCTAATCAACTGCCCCTTCCTCTGTGTTTTTTTTCTTCCTGTTCCGCCTCAGGGCAAAATGGCTCTCATGGCAGCGAATAGTTGTTTCATCTCCTACAGTGAAAGTGGGGACATCGTGGCCAAGAGCAAGACAGCAGGGGAGGGCGAGATGGTGAAGGTGATGTATAAATTGTGTTCTTGCACAAGGTCGCATGTTAATCCTCTCACTTTCACTCCGTGGGGTCCTGACTGTTGAGTTGGGAGGGGAAAGTGTTTGTGACCTCACCGCAGGGGGTTCACGGTATTGATATTTAATGATTTAGATTCTCTATTTTTTTGTATTTTCTTTGTACAGATCAGATCGAGTGTGGAACAAGAGGTGAAGCATAAAGATGACATCGCAGAAGAAGACCGGGGCAACGTGAAGTCCTGTGAGGTCAATTATGTGTATGTAACCTTCGTTCCGTGTGCACACAAGCGTTCCAGTCAACAACAAATCAAGGCTTCTCTCTGCATTTAACTTTCAATTTTACGGCCTACCATTTTCAAGGTTCAGTTGCCCCTTTTGTGCTTCATTTAATATGAAATTCCAGTCAGTCAGAAGGCGGGGTTTGATTAGGTTTGATAGGAAAGCACAAAACAGACATTTCTGCTTCATGAATACATTTTTTTGCAAATTCACATCTTCAGACCTCTAAAAAATAGTCCGTACAGTCAAATATTGAAGGTGGTTTACAAGCAAAATAAAGGTTCACAACGACACGGCCTCACAGATGATCTGCGTGTAATCACCTCCTCTGAGGGAGAGCCAACCGGCTCTTGTGAGACTTGTGTGCTACCTGCTCTATCATACACTGCGTTGAATACATGCAGATAGAAACAATCACACATGCAAACAACAGTAATAAAACTGAAATGAATGAAGTCTGAATTGAATTGTGACCTGACCCACATGACTAATTATGGTCAGTAGATAATTATATGGATAAATGGGCTAAAATAGACTAAATTGAACCCATGTCCATGGTCTTGTGACCATTAATACACAAAGTACTTTTAGTTAATGTCTTGAAGAAGAATGACACAGAATGATTTCAGTGTCGCTTTAGCTTAAACTCTTCCCTCTTGCTATTGTTGGAAGTGACTCCCGGAAGTCTCTTCTTTTAAAGTGGTATTTGTCTTTAAGCCGTTGTCACTTTGTATCAATAACTATACTTGTATTTCCCAGCAGCCTGAAGTTGTGTGGTTTACCTTTCAGCCTCCTTGGAAATGAGCGCTGAAGCACTTTATCTTGATTGAGGGGTACTTAGAGTGATTCCCTTCCCATTATCTTCACATTCTGTCAGTCTGCGCCGACAGGATTTTGACAACAAAATCACCGGATGTGAGACGAGGCGTTTGAGTGACCGTCTCCTCGGTCCGCCGCCTTTTTAGAGACGCGATTGATGGTCTGCCGCTGGAGTCGGAAGAGAAAGCGAGTAGGGGCACACACGAGCATCCGATGCCGCGAGGGTTTTTATATACGCCGCTCGTCCGCAGCTTATTAAGTTCGGGGCAATATGTCTGAAACCGTTTTCTTGCTCGGCGTGCTTTGGCTGCCGTTGCAGCTCTGTTATTTGTTTTAGATGAATGCTGGGGAAATGGAGCCATCACGTTGACGTGTTGATAATGGCTGCCCTTGAGCCTGTGTCTTGATGTAGTGTTTAGCGTCTAAAATGCCTCTCAGGATGGAGTGCAGCTCGGGCTTCATAAAACACGGGCAGAGCAAAGAGAGACTAAACGTCAGGCGAGTTTCTGACCAGATGCACTGGTAGCTGTTTGAACTACTTATTTTCTGTCTTTACTGACTAATGTTACCGTGTGGACAGTTAGTTGTCGTATTTAGCCACTTGTTAGCAACCGCAAGATAACAAAAAGCGTAGATATTTACAAGGGGGATATTGGTCTTTTGAGGCATTAAACCAAAAAGCGTTTTAAAAAACCCCACCAATTTCATGGTTTTTGGTCCCATTGTTGCTTCAGATTTACATAAGAACTGATGTCTCACTGTCATTAATAAATTCCACTTCAAGCCTTAGCTGATTATTTAACCGCATTAGTATATGTTGGTTTGACTGTCAGCCTTTTGATGTACTGCTTTAGTTAATACTCGGTCTCATTGTTTGGAATTCTTCCCTTGAGATTTAGCTTCTCAGCAGCTCGGTGCCAAGTTCTCCAAAGAAGAGGATTGTGAAAATGTGAAATGCGGGGATTGGATGGTGTGTCATTTTCCTTTCGTGAGAGTCTGATCAACTCTTCTTTGTGAATCACAGGAAGAAGTTTCAGAGTTTTCAGGACCGTCGGCTGCGGGTGAATGAGGGAGACTCGTCCTCGCTAAAGAGAGCCAGAACGGACGGGAAGTTTCACGAAACTTTGCTGGACAGGTTTGGAAATAAGCTCATTGGATATTTATTCGAAAACGCCTCATGTATTTATTTTGCCTAATCTCTCTCCCTTAACTGTTCCTTCATAAATAAAGGAAATGTACATGATTTATATAAGTGTAAACAAAGTATCTGCCTTCTACTGTCATCATAACACAGTGACAGAGATTAAAAGAGAGACTAAAATATATTTTTATTTAAGAAAGCCCATTGTTCATAATGGATTTTTAATTCAAAGTCATTTGATTTTGGGTGTAGACATTTCATTAATAAAAACAGAATATGTCTCTGTCTGTTTTTTATTACAGGAGAAGCAAAATGAAAGCAGACCGGTACTGCAAGTGAAGAATCAACCTTTTAGGCGACTGATATCATTGTAAATGTCTTTTATTTTAAAGATTTGGCCATTTGATCTGACATTGTTTTTAATCTTTTTAATAAAATGACACGGTCAAATCTGTTTTATGGTCTACATGTATTTTTAGCAGCCAGTTGAAATAATATTAATTGGAACATCTATAGTATTCAGAAGTCTTATCATATTCTGTGTAAATAATTACATACATGCACTTTGCTTTATGATACACAAATCCTTTAGTAAAGAATATTGATACTGAACTCTAATATAGAAAGTATAAATCAAGAATTATCTCCTAGACTTGCAGAACATTTGGGTGTAAAATAGGGTTTTGTTCATCAAACAAACTGACAAAATTAAAGTGGATGTTATGTTACCATCCGGCTCAAAGGCTGCAATATTAATGAATCAAATGAATATCAAAATAATACAAGCATTTATTTAAACAAAACAAACATGGAGATGTCTGAAACAAACTAAACAGCAGGCGAGGAACGAGTCTGGAAGACGTTCAAATCAGAGAGTAGAAATAATAACACTCATTTGTAAGTCATATCGTTTGTCATTGTCATGGTGACACGTGGCAGCAAAGAACTGTCCCATTCATATTTCCTTTCAAGCGCTCAACGAATGTCGCACTCAACCACACAGCAGGCGTCAGTCAGTTACGTCCCTGAGGGTTTGCGGTTAAGGGGGAGGGGTCATTGGGATTGGGACCTAGTTGGGTTGAGTTTGTGTGTAACCGAGAGACGCACCGTCAGGTGGTCGACAAAATAATTATATATACTCATGATGAATTGTGCTGTATCATTAGAAAGTGTAGACGTACAAATGGGGGACATTGTGTTTATTACTCTCACCAACCTATGCAATGGAACATCTCATGTGACTGTGACGCACAGCAATAAAAAAGTTCCTCTTTTTTAAGTTGAAGAATTGAATGAATGTCAGCTTGGCTGGTACATTTTATTGCAAACATTTTGTATTGTTGGATTTATGAGGGCTGTGCCAGCCTTGCTGCTGATCATGTCCTAACATATTTTTGAAGTTCAATAACAAACTACAAATGCTGTCAAGTCCATTCCATTTTAATAAAACACGGGACGTCTATTGTATTTAGTTAAAATCCCCTCACATGAGAGGGCTCCCTAGCTCTATAACGTATATATCTGTATGCTCATAAACCCAACATTTTGGTCGTGACTTATTTGAAATTGTTTTCAAGACTGCATTTAATTGTATTACTATGTTGTTTAATAAATGCATGGGAATAAAAGGTCAATGTTTCCCTCTGACATGTAGTGCAGTAGTTAAATGAAGCACACATGAAAATAAGCAGACTCTTCAGCAGCTCTTCATTAAATGTACTTGGTTTGCACGTTGTTCATGTATAGACATAATCCAACTTGCTTTCTTCATAGGTCACATGGTTGACTTTATGGGCTCCCTTTACATCACAGTTTGTCACGCTATTTATTTTCACTTCCGCATGGAAACTACCACTAGTGATCTTTTTGGAGGGGTGTTTTGGATCACTTCCTTAATTTTTTATCCGATGTTCCCGCTTTTAAAGCAGATACAAAAATATGATTTTCAAACATTTTCTTTATTTTATAACAAATTTAAATTATCAGTTACGTTTATAGTCCCCTTTGTTTGTTTTTCTATTTTTACAAAGACATTTTATGTCGCGTAAGAACTTCCGGTTCCCCCCGCGGTATATTAAGCGGGTCGGTGTCACGCTGTAAACAACGACAGCAGCTTCTCGGACCAACAACACTTTGACTGCGAGCCTCCGAAATGGGGCTCTGTGATTTAATAGTTGTAGCGGCTTTAATTTCTGTTACATCGACGCAGTTTATCCCTCCGGTAACGTTTCTGCGTTTAACACGTTTATACGCGCAGACCCGCGACGCTGAGCCGTGGTGCGCTGTATCACTCCGACGACACAAACCGGTCATGTAACGTTACTTTTTTTCTGTTCACAGTACACAGAAGAATGTCGGACGGAGATGTATCCTCCGGCGGGCCCCACGTAAGTATAAAGTGTTTTCCGTCTTTAGATTAATATTATTTAAGTCTTTGGTGGGTTTTGTAACTGCTGCCTTCACTTGCTGCTCGTTAATTTTTACCTGATGGAGGAAGGTGCGCAGCTAATGAGAATATTTGTGTAATATAATGTGGGCTGTGATCACTTAATGTTTGGTTTTTAAATGTTGAATGGTTCCATGTGGCCTTTTTTCCCCTAATATTAAAAAAAATGGTTTGGGCCAGTTCTGCAAAAAGAGAAGCAATTGTTTTGTGATCAACAAAATCAAATCAATTTGCTTGGTCTTAAATAAGGTGCTGGAAGTGTCAAATAAGCTCAAACAGACTAGATCTCTGCAAACTTTGCAGAGAGAACGTTCGGATATAAACCAATTTAAACCTGCTTGGCACATTTTTCCTTAACATAATTTACAGATTAATGGTAGTTTTAGTTACATTGCACTTCAAGACGACAGATCTGCAACCGAAACATTTCAAACCGTTTGCCTGGAACTTCAAAGCTTTTTGCGCTGTAAAGTTTACTAATAATTTGCTTAAACTAGGATTTAATTTGTGGAATCAGCCAGTGTGGCCTCCGCTGTTGCATTGTGGTAAAACCTCAGGGGAATTCAATCTGAAAGTGATTTTCAAAGCGCTGCATTAAAAATAAGTGACTTTTTTTTCAAACCGGATGCTCTAATTTGCGTAGTTGAGTTCTGAAGGATTTCCTTTATGGTCAGGTTCAGAAGCGCGGTCAGCTGGTACACTGTGGACCTGGACTCGCCGCCTAGCGACAGATGGACGGCTCTGATCACTGACAAGAAAAATGATGTATGGATGAACAAGCACTTGTAACTAGTCAAACAGAAATATACTTTTTTTTTTTTTTACTTGTAATTACTAAATATCATTTTTTGTTGTTGTTTAAAGCTGCTCGTCGTGATCAAGGCCATTCGAGACTTTGCCAACGCTTTAGTTCCAAGTGGAAGGCTGGTTGAGCTCGTTGACATTTCACTGGTGACTTATTCACTTTTCTCTCAAACATGTCCTCCTCGGAGCAACTACTAGATAGTTGGATTATCAATGACTGAGTCTTGCTTGCGTTTGTTTTTGAATGTCCTGCAGCCGTTGATGGTGGAAACTCTCCCAAAGCCTTACGGGGAGGAAATCAAAGCGATTGCGGCGGTTGCAGGACTTCCTCTTGGTGAGAGAACGCTCTTTGGTAACTGTTTTTTATTTTAAAAAATGTGACCTTGATTTACATTGTCCGCTGTCGTTTTTATAATTTAGGTGAAGTCGTCCTGTACAACATCTTCTACGAGGTGTTCACTGTGTGCACATCAGTTGTTGCAGAGGACGATGAGGGTGAGTCTCTGTCCGGCGCCACATGGTTAATTCACTTTAAAATAATGCTACAGTTATATTGAACCGCTTTGTTTTCTTACAGGTAATCTATTCCATGCTAGAAATCTGGATTTTGGAATATTTATGGGGTAAAATCTTGGCAAAACTTCTTTTAAAAAATATATATTTCTTAAAATGGGAGTATTTCGGCCTAACTATTCTGAATTTTTCTTAGCTGGGATGTAAAAAACAAATCCTGGATCATTAGTGAGAAGCTGAAGCCTCTGGTGATAAACCTCAACTTCAAGAGAAATAACCAGACTCTGTTCAAGTCTACTAACTTCGCTGGCTATGTCGGCCTGCTGACGGGCGTCAAGCCGGTGAGTCGACGTTGTTAAAATCCACATCAGCCGTGGACTTGTCCGTATCGCTCGTGCAGTTCTGGATACAAGAGACTTCCCTTTTTTATTTCCTAGAACCTGTTCACTCTGACTATGAATGAGCGTTTCAACCTTGATGGCGGATTCGTTGGTGAGTGAATTGCAGTTTTTCTCGCAGCCATTTGAGAGGTCTGCTTTATTTTTTTTTTAAACCACTCTAATTATATCACTTGCAGGAATCCTGGAGTGGATCTTTGGGAAGAGGGATGGGATGTGGATGGGCTTCCTCATGCGCTCCGTTCTAGAAAACGCAAACAGGTACTCGTTCCTTTTGAGAGAAAGTCCTTTAATCTGTGTCTTGCGGTTTGGCACCCATGTGCTGTAAAATGTTACTGCGGTGGATGGCTCTCTACCCTCTTATGTTGTGCAATACTGATTCAAAAAAGGCTTCAAACTTGTTTTGACTGCTCCCAAAGGCATTCATTTAATTTTGGATGACTCAAAGGTACCATTTGAGGAAAAATGCTAGTCGTATATTTAAAGGCTTGTTATCTGGATTGTGAAGCGTTTAATGCTTAACTTGAGCTGCCGCTGTCAAGCGACCACGTCTCCGTACCACTAACTCTTCTCCCCTTGTCACCAGCTACAAGGAGGCCCAGACTCTCCTGGTTCAGACCAAGCTGCTGGCTCCAGCCTACTTCATCCTCGGAGGAAACCAGACGGGCCAAGGCTGCATCATCACCAGGTCCAGACTGCACAGTATTGATGTCTTGGAGTAAGTACTGGAGCTTGTGCTTCTATAGAGTTTTAGATTAGCGAAAAATACTCCAACTTGCGAAAAGACTGTGGTTGTGCCCGACTGGCTCAGAGCCACGGCCGGCTCTTCAGTGCTGACGTCGCAGTGACTCTGCTTATCTCGTGGTCTTTCTTGTGAAACAATACTGTGTGCACTTGTGACTGCTTTTGGTTTCCCATCACCTGATTAAACTATTTATCCATGTTTGCATAGTGTAGAAGCAAAGTCACGTTTTGTTTTCCTGTCCTTTTTAGGCTTGACTTGAAATTGGGCCGGTGGTACGTCCTGGAGACCAACTACGATCACTGGAATGAGCCTTTGTTCCTGGATGACCGCAGAACCAGTGCCATGAAGTGCATGAACCAGACCACCCAGACGGTGAGTGCTAATCACTGTGCATTCAGACATTTACTCAACGTGACTGCGCCCTATACTTGTTATGCAGAACAGGCCATTTTAGAACAATGTATATTAGTGGTATTGTATATTAATGGTGTATTGTCCTAGAATATGTAACCAGGTGCTGAGTAGTAAATTTCCTTTATTTTAATAGAACATTACTCCAAAGACCATGTATGATGTCCTTTCAACCAAACCAGTGCTAAACAAGGTGAGCCTTTCCATGTCTCATTGTATTCGATCATTTAAACTTGAACGTTGTTTGTGTCTAAATCACTTTATTGATTTACCCCCCCACAGTTGACTGTATACACGACACTGATGCAAGTGTCAGGGGGAAAACTGGAGTCGTTTATCCGCGACTGCCCAAACCCCTGCATGCCGTGGTAACGCCTCAGCGCCTGGCCAGCTTGTAAATGTCTGTGATGGAGACCTCACGCCACAGAAGTGAGGGCGTTGCCTTTAATTGTTTGCACAGTGACCAAATCCCCTGAGCCAGTTTGTCTTGACATGTTCAGATTTCTTTTGTTAATTCCTACTTTCTCACATGAACTGGCACAGGAGTCCATTCAACTGTAAATAAAAAAAGTTTATTCTACTGGAATGTTTGCGTGTCTGTTCAAATGTCCCTGAGAAATGCTTTACTGACTCCATTAAATCTTCCCACTCACCATTTTGTGCCTCCAGTTTTTTTTTTCTTTTTTTCCCCCATCCAGGTGGCATTAACTGAACCACTACCAGGTTCCATCACTTTATCTGCCTCACAGCGACCACTTCCTCTTTGAACATTGACTGAAATTCCCAAGCTACTGAATTGTTTTACTTAAACCTGTGGAGGGTAGTGGTCGCCAAGGTTAAACTTTAAGTGTATAGCCAGTATAACAAACCCAACAGACTTCTCTTCCAGCAATGTACATGTTTAGTAAATATTTTAGTCCTTAGCTATGACATCTTATCTGAAATTTCTGACAAAGTATTAACCACATGACACTAAACCATAAAGTTCAAGCATTTCATTTATTAAACATTTTAATTACATGAGAATCAATGGAAACTAAACATTAACCGAATAGTGTAGAAAGTGTCTGGATAAAAGCTAAATCTCAGCTTTGAGCTCAAAACATTAGCCAAAGTCTGAGACTGCTGCATAACAAGGCCAACACAAATAAAACAATCAGAACTCTTGTTTAACCGTCGATCAGCACAAGGACAACTTTCACATTAAACAATCAGGAATAAAATTAACGTTTAATTGTATTGTTTCAAGTCATAGCTAACTTGTGACCAATGAGAGCCTTTAAACTAGCAGATTGAAGGTGCAGTTATGTGTTGCTATAAACTTGTCCAGACATTGTTTAAAAAAAAAAAAAAAATCTTTATACGTTCTGTGCACCAACAGTGTCTGGAAAAACAAAAGGAAAAACCATAAATGACAAAGGGGATTGAATAGTAGTTAATGTACAGGCAAATGATAAACAAGGGGCCACCTATTTGGCAACCACACAAAGTGTCTCCCATACCTGGTTCCTTCAGGTCCTCTGCATCTCCCACCAGCCCGGTCAGCGATTCAGTGTTTCCATTGAGGATCTCTACAGACAGGTTGTTGTTCTGCTGCTCCTCCACTATTCTCATCTGTAGTTCCTCCTAATGTCAAAACACAGGATATTTTTAAACCCTCTACTTCTGATTAACGGTTTATAAAAAGAGCGTTGTAACTGTTACACACCTCACACATGACTGTTAGCTGCAATGGCAAATCTTCCACCTTCACAAAGTCTTCCTCGTCAGATTTCTGGCTGGTGTTACCTGAGCCAATCTCCTGCATCAATATTATCGATAGAATCAGTTAACGGTCAAAAAAACAAACGTAAATGGCAACGTTGGTAGTTTGATAAAATAGTGAGTGATGCGGCATCCTTCCATCTGAGCATCTTCAGCCTCAAACTTACATCTACATTGATCATGACGGGGGAGTCTGTGTCCGGGCTGCTGGTGGTGGTCGGCTCCTTCAGGACGTCCTGATCATGGGAGCTTCCGTCTGAGGCAGCACCTGCCCCCACGTTCCGGTCCTCTTCCGGGCTCTGCGTCGCATCGCGGTCTTCTGCTGTGGAGCACACGCTCACAACTTGCTGGTGGAATTCTAAAAACATGAGAAAAGAAAAGCAATTTACACGTTATAAAATATAACAAATGTTATGGGATTTAATTGTTCTAATCCAATTACAAAATTTCTATAAAACAGAAGCCTGCTTTAAAGAAAATCCACACTGGAAATATCGGAAAGCCTCACCTCCACACTGGAAATATCGGAAAGCCTCACCGCCATGATCTGAGCTCCTCTTTTCGCCTTGGGTCTCCTGGGCGTCGCAGTGTGTCGTCTCCTGAAGCACGAAACAATTCCACGTGTCAGACTAGGAACAGTGTCTTGACAAATACGAACTAGGTTTGTTTAGCAAAATAATATCTCTGCGAGACAATAAGGCCGACCTCCTGCTCCACCGGTCTATCAGCAGAAACCGGCTGCAAGGATGTTTGGACATCAACAGGTCCAGCTTCAAACTCCATTTCCTCCTCCTCATCATTCTCATCTTCTCCACTGCCGTAGTTTGTCAGGGACTGAGTCTCGGCTTTAGACAGACCTGAGAGAAGGAAAACACACGAGGAGAACATGAACCAGGACATGTGCTACATTGTTTATATACACACACATAAAATTGCCTTCAGGCAGAAAAAAATTAAAGCTTTTAGCGTGAATTGTTGACAATTTCCTACAGAACTGTTTTATTGCCCTGCTAATATTACATCCAGATGAATCTTTGAAAAGAAAGAAAAAACTTTATTGTTAACTTCTCATTGACAGTGATGGATTACCACATAATCAAAAGTGCCAATTTTATTATGGCATTTAAAATGCAGGCCGTAAATTAGCTTACAGTAGTTTTTCAGGCAGTTTTGGCACAACTAATATTGCAATGTTGTCCCTACTTATACACAAGAGAAATGTTGAATTTAATGTAAAAAGATATACATTGCAATTGGCATTTCTTTTGCGGGTAGATTCCTACTAAATGATACAGAGGGACCCCTTTAAATATTTGAACGTACTGATTGCCAGAGGGATTCCCTGTCCATCTTCTTCAGGCTTGTCTTCCTCCTGCACCTCTGAAGCTTCACTGCTCCTGCTGTTCTTCATCGCGGTTTGCTCCTGGAGAACATCTTCCTGCTCAGCTTCATCTTGGTCCTGGAAGAAGAAGAAGAGGGAGATTATGGTGACTGATTACTTGTGATCTAAGAGGTATTGACCATTTCATTAGGGTTATGGGTTAGTGTTCAAACGACTGACCTTGTCTTCATCTGTGTAGGCTGGAGAAGTGGATTTATCACCACCCACTCCTGTATCTTCCTAATTGGGGGAATTAATTAACGTGAAGGGTTAAATTAGTCTCGATCAAACAACCTTATGTGGCGCAGTCTTAATTCATAACACAAAAAAATGTGAATAGAATTTAAAAAAAAAAAACTTACCGTAGGACCGTGTGTCGAGCTACTGGGCTGCTCAGACTTCTTATTTTTGTTTTTGGCTGCCAAGGCGATGCTGTTTGTGTTGTCCAAATCTTGCATGAGCCTGAAGAAGGCGAGTTCATTGAAGAGGATCTCGGAGATCTCCACCAGAAGATCCTCCCCGCAGTCCTTCAGAGTACGGCCCATGAATTTACTAAGAGAGTCCTGGAGAGGCGAAAGGCATCATCATTCTCCATTTCAAACAATTCAACTTGTGTCACCCGCCCAAGCTGGTGTTGCCACCGTCGTACCTGCAGCATGCCTCCCAACTGTCGGTGGAAAAAGCGCACAAACTCCTTGCTTTCGTCATTCTGTTGGGTGAGAGTGAGCACCATGCGCCGCACAGAGGTCAACAGCTGGAGGGAGCACACCTCATCCATGTTCTCCTAATAGAAGAAACAGTCAACATTATGGAGGGATTTACCTCATAAACACCTGTTCCTACTCAGTGGTAAACCCAGTGTCGATGATATTCAATTTGAGCTTTTAATTGTTCAGTGACTAATGAATAAAAGGCCCCATTTTTGCATTTAATAGGTCAGTTCAGCGATAGAATATTCATACATTTTAATTTCTAATCCATTTTCTGCAGCTGGCTGTGCGGTACCTACCTTCAGGAAAGGAATGACTTTGGTCATTATGGCTTTAATCTGGCGGTCCAACTGATGGGTGTCAATCTGAGGACAGTGCACATAAGCAGCGGCACCTCCTGCACACAGACACGAATAATTGTATTCAAACAGCAACGAGAAAGACAAACGTAGCGTTGCCACATGGCGCACTCGGGCGAGCGTATCGGATTGGGTACCTTGCATTGGGTCAGCGGGGTTAGCAGAAGGCTGTTCAGCAAAAGAAACTTCAGAGCCACCAGCAGCTGCAGAGCCGGCGTTGCAGGGGTTAAACTCGGCTTTAAGCTTCATGCGCTCGTACTCCCTAATCCTGGCCAGAGCCTTGTCTAAATGAATCACCGTGTTGCCTACCGGAGCAGCAAAGAAAGGAGAACGAAGAAAAGTGGAAAGATCAAAAAAGTGTAATGGATATTAATGCCGTTATAACCAAGTTGACACTACAGGTCCAAACTAAGTAGGCCTGCTAATAGTCTTTAGCTTGACCGTGTAGTGTGGATCAGTACAGAAGCCCTGAAGAAGTACAGAAGTTGACATGTATAAAGATTTCAATAAAGGTAATAAGCAAAGCACTTCAGCTGAATACCAGGAGGGGAAAACGGTTTCAGATAAACAGTTTAACAAGCTTCAGTCCCAAATAGTTTCCCCATGCACACAGTGACTGTACCCAGGTCATCGTTTGCAAACGGCTCCAGGTTGGAGGAGGTTGACATGCTGCTGTCGTTTCCCACAGATTCTGCATCCTCCCTCTTCTTCATCATCATCATCATCATCGTCGTGCCCTGTGTGAGCCTCAGGTTTTTCTCCACGACTTCCTGAAAAAGGGTCAAGATCCCGTTACTAGGCACCGTGTCTGTGCACACATCTGATATTTCATGAATTAAAAAAGGGTTTTACCCCCGATGGAAGTATTGATAATTCCTCAAAAGATCCACTTTAAAAATACCCCAACATCCAGCAAGAATTTCAAACATTTAGAATTAGTGCTTGCTTCTTTCCTAGTTTGGAGAATTATACATTTCATCCATCATTCGTGAACAAAGGCATTATTTAGACAGAAAAAAAGCCTGGCATCCAATTAGTGGAACTCTGGGGACCTTGGCTCAGAACAAAGAACACATGTCTGATCTGGCAAAAGAGACGAGGACAGATGATGGTCTTTTTTTTTTTTTTTGTTACAGAATGGTTTCTGAGGTCTTGCTGTCAAGTTGAATTCAAAGACAATGAAGATGGTTGGAGGGGAAATTAAAGTCATAAAAGAAAGACAGACATGGAAGAATGAAAGGAGACAAGGCAGGGAAGGATGAAAGGAGACGAGGCTGAAAGAGAAACTAATGAAAGATGTATTGAAATGAAGAGCAAGCAAGTGAAAGATTTAAAAGAAGAGTAGGGGGAAGTTTGACAAAGATTGAGATAAATACTTCAGCACAGGCAGACACCTCACTATGGAGGGACACAAATGCAGAGAAGATAACAAACATTAGAA